ATGGCAGCGGGAAGCAGACTTTCACCGAAGCCTGGGCGCACCAGGGCACCGAACGCAGCAAGCAAGTGCACCCGAGGACACCCCCCCTGCGTGCCATCCCCAGCCGATGCACACCACCCCATCGTGCTGCTCCCGTGGTGTGTCACGCGGTGCACCCGTTGCATGCTGTGTATTCCCCTCCCTGTAAACCGACCCCCGCCCCTCAGGCTCCCCCACCTGCCGTCCTACTGTGTGCCATGGGCCGGGCATGGCTGCTGGTCCTGCAGCCGACGGGGACGGCAAAACAGCCGCCTCGCCACCACAGGCGTCCTCAGGCGCCGGCGGTGGCAGCTGCACAGTAGCGGAGTCGCCCCCCTCCTGCAGGCCGCGTCACACGGAGTGATGCACAGGAGGCACGACGGGTTTGCCAGGTTGGTCGACAGGCAGTCATGGCAGCGGGAAGCAGACTTTCACCGAAGCCTGGGCGCACCAGGGCACCGAACGCAGCAAGCAAGTGCACCCGAGGACACCCCCCCTGCGTGCCATCCCCAGCCGACGCACGCCACCCCATCGTGCTGCTCCCGTGGTGTGTCACGCGGTGCACCCGTTGCATGCTGTGTATTCGTTTGTCTGTAAAGCCAAACCTTCACGGATGTACCTCTCGAGGCTCTCTTCTTAGTGCCACTACCAAGCATTCCGACAAGCGACCTATTCACCTCAGTGCCTTCAACTACAGCCGAGAATCTCATAGACACTATATCGTCTGGCTTAGTGCGACGTGGCACTGTAGCAACCCACTCAACGCCATCGACAATAACTATGAACGTTTCTCCGGCGCGGCACTGTGCAAGTTCACACGCGAAGTTAAACATTTCACGTTTAAGATGTTGGCCTATTTGTCTCTTCTGTAAGTACAGGTCGGTGTATCTGCATAAAGGTAACAGATGGTGCCATTTTCACAGCAATCACGCTAAACGCAGTGACGTTTCTTATTGGTGCTGCAAATTATCCACGTTCACATGACTTCTGGGCAGCAAGAGGGGAAATGCCGTACAATTCCGGACCTGTTAGGTCCGGAAGTGTACAGCATGGTGTTAAGTTCACATGGCTTCAAATTTAAAATTGGGAAGTTGTTTCGTGGCTACCAAACTTAGTTGATTGCATCTTTAAATTGATGGCCAGAACCTGCCATAGAATAGGATGCTCTTTTGTCATGGCGGGACGAAATGCTTGCTTGTGTAGAAGCATTAGAAGCTCGACGATTAATACAAACGTGAAGGTTCTGGAATTCATACACATTGTGATCGTTCTTACTGGTCACATTAGCCAGTTTGCCATGTCGTTGAATGCGCTGGAGGCGGCATCCAAACCACCGAAGATCATTTACAGACCGGATGTAGCTCCGCACTCCTCCCAGCCTTTTCAATGCACCAACTGTGCCAACTGATTTGTAGTCGGTCAACGGCATATCGGCACCAGTGCAAAGACAGGGGGTGGAGCAGGCGTGGCGGCGGCGGCGGGAATTAGCAACGGAGTAGCAGCAGCAGCGACGGCGGTGGGGCTGGGAGATGCATTTGTCTGAACAACAGGCGCGGCGGCGGCGGGAAATAGCAACAGTAGCAGGCGCGGCGGCGGCAGGAATTAGCAACGGAGTACCAGCGGCAGCGACGGCGGTGGGGCTGGGAGATGCATTAGTCTGAACAACAGGCGCGGCGGCGGCGGGAGTAGCAACAGCAGCAGGCGCGGCGGCGGCGGGAAATAGCAACGCAGCAGCAGCGGCAGCGACGGCGGTGGGGCTGGGAGGTGCATTAGTCTCAACAGCAGGCGCGGCGGCGGCGGGAATCAGCAACGGAGTACCAGCGGCAGTGACGAAGGTGGGGTTGGGAGATGCATTAGTCTGAACAACAGGCGCGGTGGCGGCGGGAGTAGCAACAGCAGCAGGCGCGGTGGCGGCGGGAATTAGCAACAGTAGCAGGCGCGGCGGCGGCGGGAATTAGCAACGCAGCAGCAGCGGCAGCGACGAAGGTGGGGCTGGGAGGTGCATTAGTCTCAACAACAGGCGCGGCGGCGGCGGAAATTAGCAACGGAGTAGCAGCGGCAGCGACGGCGGTGGGGCTGGGAGGTGCATTAGTCTGAACAACAGGCGCGGCGGCGGCGGGAAATAGCAACACAGCAGCAGCGGCAGCGACGGCGGTGGGGCTGGGAGGTGCAGTAGCCTAAACGGCAGGCGCGGCGGCGGCGGGAAATAGCAACACAGCAGCAGCGGCAGCGACGGCGGGAATTAGCAACGGAGTAGCAGCGGCAGCGACGGCGGTGGGGCTTGGAAATGCATTTGTCTGAACAACAGGCGCGGCGGCGGCGGGAAATAGCAACAGCAGCAGGCGCGGCGGCGGCGGGAATTAGCAACGGAGTAGCAGCGGCAGCGACGACGGTGGGGCTGGGAGATGCATTAGTCTGAACAACAGGCGCGGCGGCGGCGGGAGTAGCAACAGCAGCAGGCGCGGCGGCGGCGGGAATAAGCAACACAGCAGCAGCGGCAGCGACGGCGGTGGGGCTGGGAGATGCATTAGTCTCAACAGCAGGCGCGGCGGCGGCGGGAAATAGCAACAGTAGCAGGTGCGGCGGCGGCGGGAATTAGTAACGGAGTAGCAGCGGCAGTGACGAAGGTGGGGCTGGGAGGTGCATTAATCTCAACAGCAGGCGCGGAGGCGGCGGGAAATAGCAACAGCAGCAGTAGCGGCAGCGACGGCGGGAATTAGCAACGGAGTAGCAGCGGCAGCGACGGCGGTGGGGCTGGCAGATGCATTTGTCTGAACAACAGGCGCGGCGGCGGCAGGAAATAGCAACGGAGTAGCAGCGGCAGCGACGGCGGTGGGGCTGGGAGATGCATTAGTCTGAACAACAGGCGCGGCGGCGGCGGGAATTAGCAACACAGCAGCGCGGCGGCGGCGGGAATTAGCAACGGAGTAGCAGCGGCAGCGACGAAGGTGGGGCTGGGAGGTGCATTAGTCTGAACAACAGGCGCGGCGGCGGTGGGAAATAGCAACGGAGTAGCAGCGGCAGCGACGGCGGTGGGGCTGGGAGGTGCATTAGTCTCAACAGCAGGCGCGGCGGCGGCGGGAATCAGCAACGGAGTACCAGCGGCAGCGACGAAGGTGGGGTTGGGAGATGCATTAGTCTGAACAACAGGCGCGGTGGCGGCGGGAGTAGCAACAGCAGCAGGCGCGGTGGCGGCGGGAATTAGCAACAGTAGCAGGCGCGGCGGCGGCGGGAATTAGCAACGCAGCAGCAGCGGCAGCGACGAAGGTGGGGCTGGGAGGTGCATTAGTCTGAACAACAGGCGCGGAGGCGGCGGGAATTAGCAACGGAGTAGCAGCGGCAGCGACGGTGAAGGGGCTGGGAGGTGCATTAGTCTTAACAACAGGCGCGGCGGCGGCGGGAAATAGCAACGGAGTAGCAGCAGCAGCGACGGTGAAGGGGCTGGGAGGTGCATTAGGGAGGGCATTTATTATACAAAAATGGGCCACATCCAATGGGCCATCCAATCGTTTCTCTCTTCACTCTCTTCCAAGTGGTGTAGCCACAGAGAAAATACAAACACTATTTTGGTATTGCTGTGGCGGCCAGTTCAACTCTGGCATGGAAGTCATTTTTATTACTCTGACTATATACCTACTACTATTATACTATAGGGTAGTACCAGTACTACTATATACATACTACTAGTAGTAGTAGTAGCAGCACATACAATAAATCGCAAGTGTGATCCAGGGATGCCATTTCGTGAAACAAAATTTTCAAAATTCTCGCCAGTCCAGAAATGCAAGTCCAGCAGGCGCGGCGGCGTCGGAATTTAGCAACGGAGTAGCAGCGGCAGCGACGGCGGTGGGGCTGGGAGATGCATTAGTCTGAACAACAGGCGCGGCGGCGGCGGGATTAGTCTAACAGACAGGCGCGGCGGCGGCGGGAAATTAGCAACGGAGTAGCAGCAGCAGCGACGGTG